GCTGCAAATCAGACAACTCTTTGGGTTCAGTGACTCGGAAGCAAAGAGTGTCCGAATCGATGAACTCTAATATACTGTCAGCGAGTGATTGGCGACAATCGTGGCCCGGATTGTCGATCGCAGTGTTCGACAGTTGTGTCAAATGCATGGCAGACAGCCGTATGGTCTGGCGCTGTGTCTGCCACTCGTTGGCCACCATTAGAGCCAAACTATGGTTATGTGTGTAGAAGAGGTGACCGTTGGGTGTCTTGAGAGGCCGTCCGTCCAAATTGATCCCATATTTGTCTTCGTTGTGAACCACTGACACACTCTTATAGAAGCGCTTCCTTTCGGCCGACCCTTCGCCACACAAACAGATACTTCATTATCAGTCAAATGGTGTCCATCTGGTGGGCAATACTGACCGGAACTGTGTCTGACATGACACGTGAATGTGTGTCTCAGTGGACGCCTATAACCGATGGTTTGTCTCAATGTCTTGTAAATCATGTCTCACTTCAAGTCACATGTGTTTTGTCACGTCTTTTATGAATGGGTTCGACGTTTGCCTTCAAAACATTGTCTGAGAAACACATGAATTGTAAACAAAAAGTGATTTCAAAACAAAACTCATTTCAATGACTGATCACTAAATGACCAAAAGTGCAAACAATGCACAAAATGATCCTAAAGTGAGGGCCACTCACGAGTCGATGGTACGAGTGGACAACGAATGACATGAACTGACGATTACTACAGAAAGTGGATTAGAGATGAAGAGATGATAAGAGATAAGACGTGAGACATTCATGACACCATTGAAGACACTAATTAATTGTAATTAAATGACAAATAGTGTCGCATATTATAGCTTAGATGAGGATCTATAACTATGTACATAAGTGCCACAATTAGCTAGGTAATTGTGGTTAAAAATTCATTAATTGTTTGTTGACATGAAATAATCGCTATAATAATAAATGACTTGATAATCATATTTATGGCTATATCTGTGTTGAACTGTCTAAATGAATGATCACTGATCACAACACCAGAGATTGCCATGAATTGTGTCTGGTTCATTTTTAAATCACCTTTTAATTGTAATCAAATTAACAACATTTGATTACAATTGAACTAGTTTACAATTACTAGTTTTGTATGCTATTCAATGGGAGTCAATGAGAGTCATGTGTTCTTGAAACCAAAGCATTGTCTGCTGAACCACATCCAAGTCCACCACAAATGGAGAATCAGTTACTCGAAGTCAATGTCTGGGATGTGTTCAAAGTGTTGAAAGTGGTTGAGGTCTGCCTTCGCAACACATCTCATCCCAAATGAAACGATTCTTGAATTACAAATCTATTGCAAACTTGTATTCAGTGTTATATTTATTAAATTAATTTACAATTTATACAAATGATTGCAATATTGTCATCAATTTATGACATTAACATAATCTTATTGTAAAATAACAATTATTTTGTAATATACACCAATTTGCATTTATTATATATACGCTAATCATTTATTAATCAAATTGATTTTTAAATCTTTTGCAATGCATTCAAATGAGTGCTAATATATTATGAGATAATTTCGATATAAAGTATAGAAATATTGAATTAATTTGAATGAAGTATTGATTAAAGAATCGGTTCGTGAGTCCCATAATGACTTTCAGGCTAAATATAGTGGTATTTGACCGCAAACTATATGTTTGCCAATAATTGAATGCATAGTAAAGAGTGATTGATATATAATTGCAAGTGATTTATGATTCATTGCATTGGATTCAACGGTATCTGAGGTTTTATTGCAAACTTTTATAACAATAACTATATTTTTGGTCTATTTTTCAAATGAATTTATTATAATATATTTTAATTTATCATAAGATTGTTTGAATCTATTATAGAAAATAGTTTTTTAATTATTTATCCGTATATTGAAATCCATCTGTAAATCGCAAACAATATACTTATCAATCGTTTAGCACTTATTTGTTAGATATTAATGTCTTTCTTATCTTTAACTCTAATTCTTATAACTTTTATAATATATTGTTCACAAACATAGGGAGAGAGGGACGGGAAGGGCAGAGGGAGGGGAGAGACCACCAGATTCTGGTGACCAGAATATGAGAATATGTTTGATGTTTGAGATGTTATTAGGATTTGTTGTCACTCTTCTTCTTCTTATCATTGGTGTCTTCATTGAGTCCTTCTTCGAGTCCAAAGCATTCTTCTAAATAAGTTTCGAGAGATTTGTAGACATGAAGCCTAACGTCATCTAAATAGTGATTACTGTCCGGATATATCTGTTTTGAACAAAATTCTCAATTATTTCATAATTTCAACCGAAAAACAACGTTTACATGAAATGGCAACTCATTTGTTATAATTATCTCCACTTTCGTATACAAAAAGACCGAAAAAATTAGGAAAAGATATGTTAAGGAAAACAAAAATCCGGTCTAAATATCGATCCCTTTTGTATTGTATTAGTTGTTAGCACTCATACAGTGTAGACAAAGCCCTGTCGCTGACAAATGTTACCAATTTTGTTGGTTTAAGTATCGACTCTATTATGATAACAAAGATTAACTCCTTTTCCCTCTTATAATCATTACACGAAATGCCGTTTTTCTATAACCAACTAATAATTGCCTTCAATTCATCTTTTGTTTCACTGATTGCAAAGTGTTTCACATTTTCCCAGAAATCTAATAATTTATGAGATTTTTATTTAATTTAATTTTAATTCAATTTCCAACAAAATCGATACCCATCTCACGCTGAGCTCAAAAACATTTTTTTATATGAGTTTTCTAAGGGTTTAATAAATGATTTTTATCTCATTTTTATTTTTTGATTATTACTCTAAAGTTTACGTGTTTTTTATGTGCTTTTATTGTGATATAAGAAAAATGCATTTTTATACTTGAGATCTATAGAGAACTCCGGCGCTATTCAAGGCTTTCATTAGTTTGAAAGTGTGCTGCAAATGAACAGAATCTGCGAAAAGGGAACACAATATACAGAATATGAGTACAATATACAGAATATAGTATCAGTTATATACAGTATAGCAGTATAGGAAACAAAGCGCTTAAACGTAATCTCATTTATATTTAATTTATCAAACATTGATCCAAACTCTCATACCATCAGCGGTTCCGTGAAGAATGAAGAGTCGTTTCTGTCTGAACTGTTCGGCTTTGAGTATGAGGTTTGCCTTCTCGTAGCGATGCCTGTCCTCCGACACCCGGAAACATTGATCCAAACTCTCATACCATCAGCGGTTCCGTGAAGAATAAAGAGTCGTTTTTGTCTGAACTGTTCGGCTTTGAGTATGAGGTTTGCCTTCTCGTAGCGATGCCTGTCCTCCGACACCCGGGGGTCACCGAAGTAGCGCTCAGACGTAAACGAGTCTGAAATTATGTCAACAATTAGCCAACACTTGACATTATTTAGCAGATAATTAGACAGATTAGTGGTCACACGAACCCCAATACAGCCAATTAGTGATGGGCGCCACTGCGAGACTGCAGTTGAATATATGTTGATTCATCTGGATCAAACTCTTTGCCGCTATGTATCCGCCGTAAGCCCAGCCCCACACCTACATTGAGTGCAACATTAACACTAGTGTCTCATTTCAATTAGCAAAAGCCAAAACAAATATATATGTTGATTCATCTGGATCAAACTCTTTGCCGCTATGTATCCGCCGTAAGCCCAGCCCCACACCTACATTGAGTGCAACATTAAACTAGTATCTCATTTCAATTAGCAAAAGCCAAAACAAATTTCTTAATTTCAAATCTCTTATACTTTTGTTTTGTTTTGGATCTCATTTGCAGATTCTTTTTGTTTAATGAACTTTTAGAGCGAATTGTTTCCATTTAAAGCCTTTTCAACATTAGAGTACTTAATGTTATTTAAGTGTTAATTATATGCTCTCTATTATAGGGTCTGTAATCTATTCAAAATGTGTTTGAAGTAATTGAACGACTTTTTCATTAATTCAATGCTTGAATTTTGTTGTAGACTTGTTAACATTAAACACAGTTTACATAAAATTATATAAGAATTTCTAAATTGTTTTCAAGAATCTTGTGTTTAAGTCATTCATTTGATTTGAATTACTTATGAAACGATAATAATTAGCAAAATAATTGAATAGGAAGTGTGAAAATGAATATTACATATATTAAATGGGAAAACTTACAGCAATTCGTGAGTTATCAATGTAATGGTATTTGGTTTTGAGATATTCAATGGCTTTCATGTAATCATTGACTTCTGTATTTCCAATTCTATGCCACGATTCGTGTAATACTGTATCGCCTTTTGTAACACAAAAAGTATATTTTTAGTCCTCAAGTAATTTCGGATAAGTTATAATAAAACAAAATCAATAGTCTATAGTCTAAGACCTACCAGTGCCTCGACCGCCCCTCACGTCTATGTGAGCGTATATGAAATCTCTAGAACTCGCCTTAATTGTGACCGGAATTCAATTTATTTGATTAATTATTCATATGATATGAGCAAAACACATGTCAAACAACTCACTAAATATGTTCCCCATTCGACCGCAAATCGGTGTTTCACGTCCTGTTCCCCCGGCTCTGAACCACTGATCAAAATAATTCAATATTTTTTATACATTTTTGTTAAACTAGTTGTACGGTACAGGATATAAGTAAATAATATACACTATATTATGTTGCCAAATACGTGCAAATATTTATATATTAAATTCTGCTAATATAATAACATTATAACATTATAGCAAAGTATTGAGTTTTGTCCAATAAATGAAAATGATTTCTATTTTTGTGACTCAAATGCTTTTTTATTTATGAAGTCCGCAACGAATGCGCGGATTATAAGACATTGTATTTTCAGACACTTCTGTTCATCAGTGTCTCAATTGGGCTGAGAATTGTGTGAAAACTTAATTGAGACTCAAATACACTGAAACTAATGCCCTGCTCTCATCTAATTGATCTAATTTTATGGACAAATGAAACCCTGGGTTGAGAAAAGAGAGAGAGAGAGAGAG